ACGCAAAAGAAAAAAATCACCGAGAGTTTGTTAAGCAGGAAAAAGAAAAAAGCCGAATTAATAAAAGCGCTGTCGGTCCTTCGTGTAATAAGGAAAAATGTAAAATTAGATGTTCAGTACTTTTTTCTGAGGATCACAGACGTGAAATCCATAACCAGTTTTGGGAACTATCTCATGCAGAAAGAAGATCATTTGTTTTAAGCTCTTGCGAACGTTTGGAAATTAAGCGTCGAACAACAGAAAATAATGCTGAATCACATGTTAGACATAATGTTTTCAAATACACCTTCAAAGACAGCCTGGGGTAAGAAAACATGTGTGTAAACACTTTTATTTGACCATTCTCGGATACAACCCAACGAATGATCGATTCATTTATGAAGTTCTATCAAAAACGCCAAAAGGAATCATAGTACCGTTAGAAGACCAACGAGGGAAAAGTCGTTCAGCAAACTTTATTCAAAAAATGAGTTAGATGCACATATTGAGTCTTATAATCCAGTTAGTTCACATTACAGACGTGCACATGCACCAAATGTTCGATATCTTCCCAGCGATATAACTGTCAGAAGCATGCATGCTGATTTTTTAGAAACATTTCCTAATATTAAGGTGTCGTATAATATATATAGATGTCAGGTTGAAAAGAAAAATATATCTTTTGCTAGACTTGGCAATGAAGAATGTGAAATTGTGTGAGTATGAAGCTTTATGAGCATAATGAAGATAATCTTCAACCTGGATGTGAAACCTGCACGATTTGGAAATATCACATTGATATGGCTAAAGAGTCACGAGAAAAGTACCGACAACAAGCGCATGATAATGAAAAAAGTAACTCCTATTTTTCTGCTAACTTAAAGAAAGTGATAATGTTGCCAAGATTAGAGACATTTAAAAGGGTCTTATTTATCCAAAGGCTTTCAGTTTATAATGAGAGCTTCGTTCCACTGGGGAAAAAGAGTCTGGCAAAACCTTTTGCAGTACTGTGGCATGAAGGTATAAGCGGAAGAGACCAAGATGATGTTACAAGTGCATTTTATGCATTTTTTAAAAAACAAGGAGACTTAGAAAAAAACACTGTTAGGCTTGATAACTGCTCAAGCTAAAACAAAAATTGGTGCTTATTAAGTTTCCTTGTTTTCATTATAAATTCAAGTGAAATAAGTGCTGAAGAAATTGTCATTAATTATTTTGAACCAGGGCATACATATATGTCAGCAGACCATTTTTATCATCGAGAGGAGCTGTCCTTAAAGAAACAAGGAAAAACGTATGATTTTCCAGATTTTGTTAATGCTGTATCCCAAACAAATAAGGGAGCAGTAGAAATCAAAAACATGTCTTTTTCAGATTTCTATTCTTTCAAATCTTTCGTTTCACAACAAAAATTAAAGAAACAAATGAATCGAATTTATCTCAAAGACATTGTTCAGATTACCGCTCGCAGAGGGCAATATTATCTTCTTTTCAAAACCTCACATTCGGAATTGGAGCCGAATAATTGTTTAGATTTTCTACAGTTTAAAGCAACCAAGCCCAATGGTATGAAATTGCCGGAGCCGTTACATAAGCCTCGCGGTTTTAATTCAGAAAAAAAGGAAAACATTTTAAAAGTGTTGAATACAATAATGCCTGAAAACAGAAAAGATTTTTGGCGAAATATACCTGCTAGAGCTGATTCCAATTAGTGTTGTTCTTTGGTATTTAGCGCATATCATTATGAATATTTGTATTTTTGTTTTTAGTTTGTAAGAGAATCAAAACAAAAAGTCTGTTTTTAAATATATCGAGAGTATAATTCTATCTGTCACAAATTATTGGAAAGTAATTAGCAGAAACACTTAGCAAAAACGCAGTACCGCAATAATCTCAAGCAACATGTGACTTTCATTATACTTCTTGCTTAAGAGAAATGCAGTATCTGGCTTGAAAATAAAACCAGTCATTTTTTTTCTACATTTTTGTGAAAATATGTTTTCTCAATTGAATATACTGGGTTATGACAATAGAAGGCAGCGAAAGTATTTGAACTCTCTTACGGCTCTGAAAAAAGAAAAAACATGTTTTCCTCCATGCTTTATTTTTTGTAGATGCGGTGTTATCGCTAAGCACGGCAGAATAATGCTCTCATATTTCACCACTGGTGGAGTAGATCAGAATAATAGCTGCGTATAAGTTTCTTTTTGGTAGTTGGTTGTCTTTTAGACATATATATATATATACAGGGTGTCCGCAAAGTTGGGGTTTTCCTTTACACGACGTGTAGATCTTGAAAACATAAGCATTTTTTCTTAGTACCATATACACCAATGTCTTAAGGGAACCGAGATAAAGGGCTCTACAACATCAACAATATCTGAGTACCGTCCTGTAGCCGCGACCCGGGACATCACCGATTGGTACAAGGTCTCAACCCGACGGCAGAACTGGGTCGGGGTCAGTGTGTCAGGTCAGTATGCAACCTTCAACCGACGGTTACGGTCACGCGTGTAGAGGTAAACGAACCCATATAATCGATTGCGTTTCAAAAAACAGCAAGCACTAGAGACGTGGCTAGAGAAGTGCAAGTATCAAAAACTAAAGTGTGGCAAACGCTGCGTGAAGAGGGGCTGTATCCGTTTCACGTCCAACGTGTACAAGCCCTTCAACCTGACGATTTTCCAGCAAGAGTGCGGTTTTATGAGTGGTTGTTGCATCAACATGACAATAATCCGGACTTTCGCAACACTCATGTTTGGTCATTACGCAACATTTTGCCTTCCTTGTTTGCCTGCGTCTGATCGGTAGCGCATCAGATGATTTCATTTTCTGTTGGAGCGGTATGATTTCGGGCAGAGACGTACTTAGCCCTTCTCGTTAACTGGAGAGTGAGTACTTTTTCCTTTATTTTTTTTTACTTGGTCGCCCTCGTTTCACTACACATTATCTTTGTTATTTCAAGGGTAGTTGTTTCTGAAAAGGAAAACCCCAACTTTGCGGACACCCTGTATATATACTGGGACACACAATGGAAGAATCACCATGCAATACCGGTCTAGCCTACGTGATGACTATTTATTACATCAACTCTTGCTTGTGTAGCTGAACTTGAATATCATTGCCCCTAACCCAGACTTTGTATAAAGCTGATACCTTTTTTCCGGCCTATCGCTTTGTACTCACATGAGGCAGATGGAAAACGATGTATTTGCTTTGAGAGTCTGCAAAACTATGCTAAGGGCTCGTAGCATAGAAAACTGCTGATTTGCTTTCCAGAATGGTTCTTGAAGCTCCAGATCCCCTAACAACCTTAATACCTCCATGAACCCGTGGATGTCACAGGAGCTGGAGTCACTATCCTTAGCCTCTCGCTAATGCACTTGATTTCTATTCAAAGATTGAATCCTTTGCTATATTTCACCTAGTACCACAGTCAATAAATATATGTTAATAATGGTGAAGTGTATTATATCCAGCACAAAGTTGTGTTGCTACAGGGATCGAGGGTACTTAGAAGGTGGAGGATATTTAAGAGAATCTACCTCCAGCACCTTCGTAAGTTCACTTAACTTCCAACGTGTGTCTCCCTCAGGTAAAGATGCGACTTCATCTCAGTCAAAATTAGGCCAAAAAGCCTATCTTCGTACTACAATAAAACGTGTCTAACACCGGTTACTCTAGTTTAACATCTTCTATGAAAATATATCTCAGCCGAAACTGCATTTGTACTATGGTTTTGATAGCAGTACGAAAAACATTATGCATCCTCAGCTTAGACAGTTATATACGTAATATAAGCCTGAATATATGTTTTCCAAAATAAATTTTAATCCAAGGAATATGTTGTTGTGCTTTCAACTTTGGACTTTCATTTAACATTATTGTTGGCTGTTCAGATTACAGTGAAACAAACGAGGAGGAGGGTCACAAGTTCGTTACAGACCTGCAAACAGCCTCCAACTATCACCATATTTATTTGTATTGTATGACATAATTGGCAACAACACATGGCTTTACCTTCTGTACAATAAATATTGGTTCGATCGTATTGTATGTATTCGCAACAAGCAATGGCACATACAATGTAGACAACTATCAGAGCATATCATATTGCAGAAAGTTTTTGTGTAAGCTGAGCTTATCATAAATTACAAACATGAGAACTGTCTTCTGAATACTAACACGCTGACAAAAACATGTCTGTATGTGTAATATGTCATGCACGTTATGATCTGTACTGGAGTGATTACTCATGAAAATATCTATGTTTTATTGTTAGAGATTTATATCACTGAGAGTGAAATCAAATACAATATGGTTGCATAATGACAAATGTATAGTAAATCAGAATGCAATGTAAGCTGCTAACAAGTCATTTAATATCAAAAGTGTGTGCTAAAAGCTGTGTTGCAGCAGACAAAAATAAAAAAATGAAACTTGCATATTTTTACGATCTCAATAAAAAGGAAAATAATAGAATCTGATGTACTTCCTGCGTCACTGGGCGAGAAAGTGTATTACGTCTTTTGGATGTCGTATGTCGTATGACATGTACATCAGGAAAAACCATGTCACCCATTCTGCCCTCATAAGCTAAACCCCCGTATTCGGAAATATTGGAAAGTGGCGCAATATCAATTTGAAGTTTCTTTTTGTTTGTAGCTTTAACGGACGTCCATGGTATTAATAATTGATGTCCATATTGAGTAATAAGGGCTCTAAAATTATGTGGTCTACATAAACAACCTTGTTTGATTGTTTTTACAAGTATAAATTGCCATACGAGGATTTTTTTTAGTTCTGTTACACCAATTTCCTATGCAATAACCCCGTATTTGGCGAATACGGGCAGTTGTTCTAGGACATTATCAAATTTATATTTGTCATAATAATCGTATTTTTGATATCAGTCGTTGGGAATTGAGGTACTTGGTAGATGAAAATGAATTTAGTAACACACCAGCTTTTAATTACTTTATTTTATGGTGAACACATTAAATATAATAAAAGAACACTTACTAGATAACTTTTTCTGGAAGTTTCTCCCAAAATTCTTTCCTGTTACCTGGCATAATGGAACCAACCGCTTTAAGCAGGTTTTCAACTTTTTGACGCTCAAAGCCATTTGGTGCCGTTTTTATTGGGGCTGTTGGCATTTCACCAATATGTTTTTTTAGCAAAAAATCTAGTTTCTTCCATTCTTCCTCAAAATTGCGTTTGTAGTACATCACAAATTCAGTCCTCTTTACCATTAATTCCGTTATTTTACTCATAGTAAAACTGGGATCCTGTTTCTTAATTTTACTAACTGAATGGAGACTTTTCCACAATTGAAAATCATTCAGTTTCATGGATTTGATTTGTACCTTTCCCTTATTGCTGGACTGTACTGCCTTCTCAAAGTCTGCAAAATCATATGTTTTGACTTGACGCTTTAGTGATTCTTCTACTTGGTGGTGGAACGAATCCGCCGACATAAAGGTATGACCTGGTTCAAAATAGTTCAAGTGAATGGTCTCAGCGGATATACTTGTTGAGTTCACAATATAAACAAGAAAGGAGAATAATGCCCAGTTTTTATTCTGGCTAGAACAATTGTCCAACCATAGAGTGATATTGCGGACATCCCTGTGGTGAAGAAGAAAATATGTGAATGTCTTGTTTTTCTTTGAACCTTCTACTTTTCTCTTTGGTGTTCTATTCTCTGTCGAGTTCATCACAAATGTTCGTTTTCCCTTCCAGTCCAACTTCCAAAATTCGTGGTTTGTGGTGTTTCTCTCCTCCTCGGTAAAGAATGTCCGACATTTGAGCTTACAGTTTATACAGCCTTCTCTGACCTTATGAAGCGAGATTACCTTGTTTTTCTTAGTTTCAGCTCTCACTTCCTTGGACAGTTTGTATTTTTTTCTTTCTTCGCCTTTTTTTGTGTGGCCTTCAACTGTTTCATATGGATCTGAAATTATACCTTACAGGTGCAATAATGCTTGCTGTAGTAGTAGATAGTACACGCTTACCTGCTTCCTCATACCCTTTAGTTTCATTCTCCTCTTCTACAATCTCTGTTTCTTCTATTATTTGATTTGCATCATTTTTCATAGGTTCCCTTCTATTCTCATCCCCACGACTATCGTCTTCCATATTTTGAATATTTTTTTCTTCCACTTCCACATTTGCCTGACCATCCACTAAAAAGTAGAAAAAAGCTATCACTCTCAAAAGGACGGTCTATCGAACAGTAGTTGCTGGTATTTTTAATAACTAGTATGCTGTGCTCACCGTAACTTAAAATATCTCTGAGATTTCAAGATTCCTTGTCAATCACATTGTTAGATATATCTTGCAAGCAGTATCCTTTATTTGTGGAATGATGTTCTGGATCTGAAAATGAGCTATTTTGAATCAGGTCCTATCTTTATGTCGGTGGATTCGTTCTATCACCAAAGTATAACAATTACTATAACATCAGATCAAAACATATGGTTTTGCCGATTTTGAAAAGGCAATTGCCCAGTAACAAGGTAAAAGTACAGATTACATCTATGCATGGTAGTTATTTTCAATTATGGAAGGATTTCTATTCGGTCAGTGGAATTAAAATATGCACTAGCGTAGCCAAATTTTAGTTTTACTCACCAACAGTATCAGCTGAATCCATGTATCGAATAGTCATCGATCCATTATCAATTACGCAACTCTTGGTAATTGGTATGAATTCTTCCATCTGTACATCCTGTAGTACATCTTCATCACAATAATAATTCTGAGCGCTTAAGCAAGGCTCTTCCTCTGAATTCACTGTATTAACTTTAGAAATAGTAGCCAGGGAAACTAACTTTTTTCCTCTGCTTCCGCTACTCCATGAGCACATTGTTCTAGATTTTATAAAATCGTTGTGGTCGAAATTGAGATCCTAGGGTAAAGCTACGCCACGTGCCACTTGGAGGTTACCAGCAAACTGATATTAATCAAACCGCCTGCGCCTGCACGCGTTGCGTACGACATGTGGCGACAGGTCGACTTGCTAGGCTTAAACCACGTATTTGGAAGTTCCTAGACAAAAACCCCGTATCCAGTTAAAAATACGAGGAAAGCTCTTAGTAAACCACAAATACGGGGTTCGGCATTAGTATTTTTTAATTTTTTTGCGAATACGGGCTTAGCATTACTTGATTTCATACATTTCCGCTTCAGATACGGTTTTTTAACATAGAAAAAACGAAAATTCACGACATTTTAGTACAGTAGAGCCAAAAATCTCGTTTTCGATTTTTTTTCAAATACGGGGGTTTGGCTTAGGAGGGCAGCATTTCCGTCGGTCTATCGGTCTGTCCGCGAATCTTTGGACCGCATATAGCTTGTAAAGTACTGCTTGGATTTGGATGAAATTTTTACACAAGGACGAAAAAGTTTTATAGTTTTTAGTTTGAAAATCGGTCCAGTGGCGGCGAATAAAATGTCGAAATAAAAAGAATTGTCGTTTTTTGATGTTTCGGAGAACCCTGATCGTCTGACGATATGGGAAGGGGCAACGTTGCCAGATGGACGATGGCGACTGGTGGGGCAGGGAAGGAATGTCTATGGACTACCTGTATGAGCCTGTTTGACTGACTTCCGTTTAATTCCTCTATTGTGCATGTTCGTAACTCAATCCTTCATGAGCTGACGACGGCCTTGCGTAGGACCTGCAGAGGCAACCTACTTGATGCAATTTTTTTGTTTCATTGTTTGCTGTAACAGAAAATAGAAAACAACGAAAGCACCATGTCGGCTATTGGTACGCAGACAAGAATATAATAGACGTGATATTTTGTTTACTTCTAGCTATTTAGTTTCCAGATTCTCAGATGTAAATGTAGGTGATTTTTTGAACCTGCTTTGTTGTGAAATGAAGTCGAGACAAATTCTTGTCGTAACAGTAACAGTCATGTTATACATTCAACGACAAAAACACGTACGTTCAAATTTTGAAACAGAAGGAAACGAACAATAAACTGTTTCGAGAGCAGCTGTCACATGTCAGTTTAAATAATCCACTTTACAAGAACGCCTCTTGTACCAAGGATCTTGGCTATGGGCTCCATTTCTCAGTGGCGTAGCGGATCAATAGGAAAAGGTCACAACTGAAATTCGGACAATTTATATCTGTGAAATGAGTTTTCGCGATACAAACGCATGCGTCAGTATTTTTTGCTATTTCTTGAGTGTAATGATGTGTGATGTGTCTCAAAAGAGTTGTCCAAGTCAGTGACATGACCTGCTCACGGGAGCTCATTTTGGGATAGTCAAAAACATTCAAACGGCTGTAAGAGAACCAGCATTCATGGACCAAAGGAGCTCGTGCACATTCTATAGCTGACTTGCTTCCGCAGCCTGTTTTCTCATTAGTTTCTCTTCTGTTCTTCGAACATTGCGCATCATGACACGGAAAGGGAAAATATATTTTTCAGGTGATTTATGTTATTTTTGGAGGCAGTTTTATCAAAATAAGACCTTATTGGGCTACCTTCTACTGAATCCGGTATGAACACTGAAAACCTAGAAATGACTACATTAACTGAATATACTTCACTGGTAGTTCACCAGTAGGTGAACGTCACATAGATTGATAAAGTCTGTTTTATTCTTTTTTGTCATGTACTATCGTGCAATAACAGTCATTTGCGAATTTTAGGGCCGATTTCACCAACATTAATATTATGGACCAATAGGAAAATACCTTATCGAAATGCAATTTGACGGAAGCTGTCAAAGGTCTCGGAATATCAGTGATTTCTATTAAAATGTTGAATAAAATCGTGAAAATTCGACTGTATTATAAACAAGACCACTTTTTGATTCCAACATGATGCTTTTGTACAAAGAAAACAGGACAACTTTGAATGGGAATGGGAGAAATAATAGGTCGATTTTCTAGCTGTTAAATTTGGCAGCAGGTTTGGTCGTCTGTTAATTCATGGCAATCTCGAAATTTGTTAAGTTCAATATACTGTGTGTATGTGTGATCATTATAGCTAAGCATACCTGTTATTATTAGTAATTACTGAAAAATAAGAGCTAAAAAGAATTATAAATAGTGATAAAATATTGGTGGTTAAGGTTTTCGACTGGTGACTGGTGGGAATACAATATAGGGATGGCGACGATAGACGATACATTGATGTATCGAAAACATCGATACATCGGACGTAGAACATCGATCTTTACGCATGGATGGTTTCATGACGATATATCGATATCGAGAGGAATCATAAACATCCGTAACCGTATACCCCGAGTCTATCCTTAACTGAGCTACCATCTCTAAGCGAGGATTAGTAGCTTCGAAATTGAAAGGCCAGAAAGCTATTTAGGTGTTTAGTAGTATTTGAATATTATCATTACAGACGAGCACTGAGCCACTGAGTGGCCACTGAGCACTGTAGTCTTTTCTTCATTCTGTACTTCCCCAACGGATAGAATAAAATAGACTGAAAACAGCGCGTTTAATGATTTTCAGTTCTCAGAGAAAGATTTTCCCCTGCCGGCCCTTGACATCGTTTCGAAATATGAAATTCTGGAAACGCTATAAAAATAAAAATGAACGCACAAAGCCTACTTACCTATTTCAGACAAAAACAACTGCCTCATAACGATTGTCACCTTGACATCATTCTGCAATCTGTCAAAGTAGTGATAGGCATGCACGGTATACGGTATCGATATTCTATAAAATATTTTTCCGTATTTGAATATCTAAGCAGGCATAGTAAAACAAAAATAAGACTTGGAATTAATAAAGTTTATTTCGACATTTGGCAGAGTTTGCTCCACTGGGACGAAGTGTTGACGGATCCCACAGAATTATGTGTCACTTGTCGATATGGTTAGTTTTAAAATATCAGGAGATAATCAGCTGCTATTCAAATCAGTGTATATGTTTTGTGATTCAAATAACGTCTAATATAAATATAACCCAGAATATGTACTCAGTGAAAAAAGAAAAATATTGCAAATTTCTAGTTTTTCTGCAGGTTTTAGGTTTGCTGGTAGCTCTACGACATATATTTGGGTATTTCTTAATCGCTGTGAATATAGTGTGGATGTTTGTTAAGTTCCTGAACAACGAAAAATATTCAACTTTATGGATTTATGGATATTAAAAAACCAGAATGGTTTTGTGGGAATATCAGTCTAAGGTGCCATAATAGTTCTGATGAACGGCAAGTAAATGAATGAATGTTTGGAAACGAGCAATATCTATGAACTTTTTGGTAGAGACAGTCATCAAGTAGGTGCTTAATGGCTATCTGCAAGATTTTTATATAAAAAAACACCCAGTAGATGATCTTGAATCAGTAAAATCGCATATCAATTGAAGAAAATAATATAAACATGAATAAAAAATCAACAATAGTAATTAAATCATGAATTTTATTCAAAAATCAAACATTTGTTTAAATTTTGACTGAATTATATGTAATTTCTTAATATTCAATAAACTGATGATGTTTCAATGACAAGATGTCATCTCATACTTTGACAGTATTTTGTCAAGTTCTGGCGCATTCTACGTCAAAACAATTTTTCTTACATATGCACCACCACATGATTTTTATAGTAGTATGTCCGTGAAGAACAAATACTTTCAGACTTGTATTACTCCCCACTTTCTCGCACGTCACTGCAAACACTTTTCTAAACAATTCGGAAACAATAATAGCCATTTATTTTAAGGAAATCCCATTAGGAGTGGAGCACATAAATCATTCAGGAAGGCGAAATTCGTTCTGATAGACGGCCAGGCCGAAGTGGAAAAAACGTGTGTGTGTGTGAAAACCGATATGCCCACCATATGGATTCTACAATGGTTATGTGAGTAGCTACCACGTTATAGAAAAAGCGTTCTTTGGAACAAAGGACACAGCACATATGTTTCACATTTATAAATACCAGATAGGGATCTGGCGCTGCCAATAAGCTAGTGGGTGTATGGACCTGTTGTCAACTATAGACAAAGGAAGTTTGAGTCAAATATACTTCGCGTCAATGGGTCAATATTGACCTTAAAAGAAACTTGAGCTATCGCTTTCTTGGCTTGAAAGTAAACATGAAAAATGCATGAATAAGCTCAGCGCAACAGAGAAATTACACGGATCGAGTCAGTCTAACAGTCTATGCACTACCGGTGATTGCTGTCCATCCGGCAAGGTTGTTCCTTCAGGCATCTGCGCGGTAGCATCAACCGTGATACCGCTGCAGTGAGTGGTCGTTCATTTTGTGTATGTTCTGTGCGTAGTAGTACGGATAGATTATTCAGCACGTGTGGCATCACTCGGTGACAAGACTCCGCAGAGTGATTAGTTTTGTTAGTTATCTGGTATGTGAGTTAAACAGCAGTGGTGGTTTGCTTAAGCAACAACAACAAGAAAAGCAAAGACGGCGGCTTCTTCAGTTCTCCTAAAACAAACAAATTTGCGAATAGTGGGTTCTGAAGTGTTACCAGCAACACAAATTTAATCATTTCTGGTCAAATGAAATGAATTCGACTATATTTTCGACAATCTTAACGCAGGATCATTAAAAATGACCAAAAACTATTTAAAATCGTTAATGGATTCAATCATGCCAGTTAGTGTGAATGCAGATACCTAACATCCTTGTTTAGATGATACATGTAGTTTAAAATCCGTTTGTATAGAGATATGACAGAAAAATCCAGAAGAAGAGGATAAGCTAGATAAACTGTTTACAATAAAGAATACTATTATTAACAATTACACATAAAAAGGAATGAAAAACCATTTATAAAATTATAATGTATCTCGGTCGCCATCTGCATAAAAGATTGATATAGCAAGTTAATAAATATGTCGTCAGTGATGCACGAAG